AAATATGCCCCGAACGAAGCGCACATCTCAACACGGTTCTTTTGGCTCGGCTCACTAAAAAGAGCCGGCTCTTTCAACTCCCAAATGGCTCCTCAGTTTTTTTGTTGCTTAAATAAATTTACTACCAAAAATAATATAAAATTATGTGTAAAATGAATTAGTAATGTAAAAAATATACAGTATATCAAATATTATTTATATGGCTTGATTTATATTCTTCTGAACATACTCAACATGGAGTACAACATGGAGTGCTACAAAAAATAAATTACAAAGTACAAGAACAAAGGTCTACAAAAAGTTCCAATCTCTGATTGTGTATATTTATAAGCTTTTAACTATTTACAGTAAAACAACATAAGTAAGCTTTGATTACCACACAAAAAATTATGAATTAAAATTTGATATTGGATATTTTAACCTTGCACAGTCTACACGCTGCCTTTGAACTATCAATTAAGTTGAAATCAGTCCAAATTTCACTGCATTTTCTCACCTTTCCACTTTCCACCGTGTAGTTTTTTCTCTGTACTGTAGCGCTATCGAGCTCTCTCTCGTCTCCCCGTCTCTCCTGTTCGTGTGCTGCTCACAGTGTGCTGCTGTGTCTCTTACTCCTCCCCCTTCTCTTCACTGTAGCGCACGCGCGTGCGTGCGTGCATGCGTGTGTGTGTGTGTGCAGGACAGAACTCTTACGGTTGAGGTCTACAGAAAACCCACGCACACAAATCAGTATTTGCATTTCAACTCCAATCACCCACTGCAAAGGAACACATCACTGATTAGAACACTTGAACACAGAGCGAGCCAAATCTCCACCAACACCAAGTCGAGAGAGAGTGAGGTCAAACACATTGAGAGGGCACTGTCAGGGTGTAGCTACCCTAAATGGGCCTTTGGCAAAGTTAGAAAAATTAAAACAAACAGAGAGGAAACCAACCAACAGAGAGAAAAGAAGAGAAGGGGTGTCTGTGTACCTTATATTGCCGGCCTCTCAGAGAAAATACAAAGAATATTTTTACAACATGATATTCCTGTTTATTTTAAACCGATAAACAAATTGAGACAAAAACTAGTACACCCCAAAGACCGGGTTCCCAACACCCAAAAATGCAATCTGATTTATTCCATCCGTTGCCAAGAAAGTGAGTGCAAGGAACATTACACTGATTGGCGTATACAGTATATTTGGAATATGTTGAAATTGGAATGGTGTAAACCGGATGTATATTGTATTATATACACATTAAAAAAGTGGGCAGAATAATAAATTATAATAGGTCACACAACTAGACAATGCAATTTATGGAGTAATTGCGTGTGAAGGCTGAGAGGCTCAATTAAAATTTGTGGAATGATTTGGAATGTAGGTGGCACGGTGGTTGACTGGTTAGCACGTCTGCTTCACAGAGCAGACGCGCAGCGTTCCATCCTGGGTCCTGGCCTTCCTCTTTGGAGTTTGCATGTTCTCTCCATGCCTGAGTGTGGGGTTTTTCTTCAGGTACTCCAGTTTCCTCCCACATTCCAAAAAGATGCATTGTAGGTTAATTGATCACTCTAACTTGTCCCAACGTGTGAGTGTCAGCGAGAATAGTTGTTTGTCTTTGTGTGCTCTGCGATTGGCTGGCAACCAGTTCAGGGTGTACCCCGCCTGCTGCCCGAAGACAGCTGGGATAGGTTCTCGCACGCCCGCAACCCCTGTGATGGTAATAGTGGATGGAGAGGGAGAGAGAGAGTAGTTGAGTTTTTTTCCCCTGCCTTTCTACTGCTTTACACTCCAGTCTGATAGGTGGCAGAATGATCCAAAAGTTTGTTTGCCAAGAAGAAGAAGAAGAAGAAGAAGAAGAAGAAGGAGGAGGAGGAGGAGCAAGAGGAGGAGGACGACGACGAGGGGAAAGACGAAAAGAAGAAGAAGAAGGAGGAGGAGGAGGAGCAAGAGGAGGAGGACGACGACGAGGGGGAAGACGAAAAGAAGAAGAAGAAGAAGAAGAAGAAGAAGAAGAAGAAGAAGAAGAAGAAGAAGAAGAAGAAGAAGAAGAAGAAAAAGAGGAAGAGGATGCTGGACGTATTCGTCAGCTGTTGTCTGAGCACTTTACTCCAGTTTGTATTTAACCATTTGAAAACAGTAGCGGATTCTTGCAGGAAGTTTTCCAATGGCGGTAAACTGGAAGGTGAAAATTTCAGACTTTTTCCGCAGTCCCTCCCGATTCGTGTCCTCCAAATCGGCGGATACTTTCCTTGCGGAGTTGCTCCGTGAGCTCCGAGATGACAGAGTTACCAACAATACTAAGGTACCTTCATGATGGAATAATAATAATAATAATAATAATAATAATTTTTATTTACAGTGACTGATACCTACTTTACCTTGATCTGTTCTAAAACAGATCAAGGTAAATGTACACATTATTCTTTTTAAATTCTAACGCCTATAGAGAATAATGTGTACATTTACGATAGTAACGATTATTTATTCTCCGGGCAGTGGTTATTTTGCCGTGACTTGCAACTTCCAAGCGTTATTTTTGTTGTGAACGGTGCTGATTGGTCAATCGCCGGAGCGAGGAATTTTGGATCTGGCTTGAATCGCTATTTTACATTGATTACAGTTGAGTGGCAGTGAAATAGGCTTCCGTGTTACAATTCATCTGGCTCCTGATTCCCGCTGTGGCCAATGGGGCAATGTCAGTCCAGTAATTGTGTTTCCTAATCATAACCTTACCATAACTTGTTTTTGTTGTTGTTTTTTTATTGGTTAAACTTTTGAACTCGTTTTAAAATCTTATTTCAACCTCATTTTAGATTAATTTTAACTCCTACTTATTCTTACCCCAACCATAACATTTTATTTTATTTGAGCCCAAATCGTTTTTCCACTTATTTTTATGTTTCAATGGCTTCATCGAAATTGTTCAACTGCACAACTCTTCAATCTTCGATAAACCCGCGAACCAAAACGACTCTTTTACAACTTCCGACTGTCTGCCAGAAATTGTCACCATAGTTTAAAAAAACAAAATACAATATTATATTGTAAAAAAAAAACAATAATTAGACAAATGTACAGAGCGGTATCTGAAACATTACGCGATGGAACATCATCACCTTCGGGGCGACCGCTTTTTCGACTATTTTTTTTCTAATAATCTTTATGGAACAAGTAAAATTGCAGATCACAGAAAGCAAACCAAACACGCTACTAATACATATACAGTATAAAGAGAGATAAACAAAAAAAGAGCCAGGGGATTTTAAACAAAAAATCTCAATAAAGAACATAAAGCCACAATTATTAACTGCTTTTTTGTTTTTGGAATCCACTCTTACCACTATTCCACGAGCTGGCACGCTTCCATTGACTGTAGTTCTCGTGACATTTACGGGAAAACATCGAGGCAGCGAGTTGCTCGTCAGGGAATTAACCAGTTCATATTTTTCAAATAGTCTTGTAACCATGAGAAGCAAACAACATGCGTTGCACTTTGTAAGAACAGCTAAGTATTTTCAGTACAAAAAAATATGAAGTGAAAAAGGATATAATTTCCATTTTCACATAAATTAAAACTAATAGTTAGATGAAAGAAAACATGTCCCTTGAATCCGAAACAAACTCATCAGGAGGGAGTTAATAATATTTTTCTTTTTAGATATAAAAACAAAGAACCACTATATGGAAGGAAATCTATGTTGGCGCTTAATACTTTTGAGTGTGAGAAACAACAAAATGCAGATTGTAAGTGAACCCAAGCAGGACAAATAAAAACATCAAATAAGTACACCTACAAATATTATCAAGTCGAGGTGTCAAAATCAATTGATTAAATCTTTCATTGACCCGACACAATGTTTCACAATGGATTGAGCAACTTTAAATGTGAACACATTAAATGTGAACACATTCTCAATGTGCTTCTCCATCAGTAAAGCCCCTATCCAACTCAGCGTCAAATAATTGCGAGTCTTTCTAATAACGTCTTGCTCTTATTTGTTTTAGGTATTTAAAAAAAAAAATATATATATATATATATATAATACATATTTTTTATGTATTATGCTGAATAAACATACGTGAACACCTGTAAACCTGTAACCATTGTAAATACCACAGCCACCTTATGCTGTGCTTTCTATGCTATTGCTAATTTATTATATTTATTCTACAAATATATTGCTAATGCTATATTTTATATTGCACTTATATTGAACTGTGTACAGTTCTTTTCTGAAACATTTATTTTGTGCAATGCAATGAAACACTTTGTTCTTTTCTTCCCCCCCAATTTTGCTGCTGTAGACTGCAAATTTCCCCAGTGTGGGACAAATAAAGGTTATTTTATCTTATTTATCATCCATCTCAGGTATATCTGCTGTCCCCACTGTGTGAGCAAGCGGCCCTCCTCTGTCCTACAGTGTCCATTGGAGAAGAAACAGTCCTGGAGCTCCTGTCAGTGTTTGCCCACTGCCCGGTTCCATGGGTTGAATTTCGCAGTTCCCTCCTCATCACCTTGACGTCTGTCCTCATCTGTACCTCCTGTGTGAGCAACAAAATACACGTATGTGGGGACTTCCTGGATCTGCTCCTTCAGATAGTGCAGGACACATCCAACTTGCATGGTGACAGTGTTCTTCTCTTGAGAGCAATAGCATGTGAATGCCTACAAGAGCTGGAGACATGCTGCCCCGGCCTTCTTTCTCAGCGCCTTGAGCTCATTGGTGGGCTTTGGACCAAAGAAACCTCGAAACTTCATCAGCCATATGCAAGACTCAATACTCTGGTGTTGAAAAATTGTGTTTATCAGCTTGCCATGGATCCTGGATCGGGTGACGATTATTTAAAATTACTGGTCGGGGAAAATACAGTTGTCAACTGGGAAGCAGACCAGAGATTAGCTCAAGTAGATAAAGACTCAGCCATTTTATCCTCCCTAATAATGGGCCACATGGGCACAGTTCCTATTCTTCAGACTGGGCGAGACTGCAAGGATTTGCGCTCAGTCCTGTCTACCACTCTGGAGAACTCTTTTCTTCTTTCTCCACTGTGTCAAGCGGCAGTTCTGCACAGACTGATGGAGGTGGTTGCCATGGTTCCTGTTGTTCGACCATCCATATTTAGAGCTCAACTTCTGCGCATGCTTGGAACCAGCGAGGTTTGTATTCTTTGCTTATGAAGTAGTTATTATATGTAGTTTATTATTACTTGGAAGTTCAAGTCTTAAAATCCAGAACCCTCTTGGTGGACCCCGACCGTATGGGATGCCGTCAAGCTGAAGGAGGAGTTCAATCCGGCCTTTTTGGCCTGTGGGACTCTAAAGGCAGCTGACAGATACCGGGTGAACAAGTGGAACGCAGCATTTGGCAGTCACTAGGTATAGCTTGTGATTAGAAAAATCAAAACTGGTGAATTTTTTTTTTTTAATTAGTCACATAAAAATGACATTTCCACATATTATATTAAATCACTAATGAATATTCACACACACACACACAAATCCACATTTTCTTGCTAGATTTTTAAATTGTAATGACATTATGAGCACAAAGCATTACGTTATTAGTTGTTCTGATGACTACCAAATCATTAAAATTCCCCACTTCTCACTACTATGCAGGAAATGAAATTGCTGATAACATGAGATTGTTGCAAGCATGATGACCACAGTTGGTGTTGATGCTTTTGATATTTTTAAAACAGTTGCTAGCATGATCAGAGAAGTCACTGATTACAGTCACAATGTATTTAAGTTGGCAACACTGGAACCAAGTCGCTGCTCTTCTTCAGAATAAGAATATTCTTTATTGGCCAAGTATCATCTTTACAGGCTACACTAGTATTGCAATAACAAGCAACTACGATAAATAAGGACATGACATATAAGTATCAAAATACTTTCCATAATGTTAGGGTACTATTGTGCAGTAGTACGACCCAATAACAGCTGTGCGACAATGTGCAGAGTCCTCAAGCAGAGATAAAGTGATCAGTGGTGCAATACCAATACTATGACAGTTGTGCGGTTTGTGCAGATAATTGTTGCACCATTTTTAAGTGGCCAGTAGCAGTAATTGTGGTACAACTGTCGGTGTGCCATTATACAGAAAGTCCTTGCCTGGTGCTGTGGAATATTGGACAATAAATGACAATTGTTCATGTACAGGGCTGGAGCTACAACGATCATTGCAGTAATACTGTTCGACAGGGGTGTGCAAAAATGCAAAGAGCCACTATAGATTTGAGATACTGTTTAGGGCAGGGGTGTCCAAAGTCGGTCCTCAAGGGCAGCTGTCCTGCCTGTTTGCCAGCTCTCCCAGGAGCAACACACCTAATTCAAATCATCAGGATCGTTCTAATGCTGCTTCAGAGCTGGCTGATGAGCTGATTATCTGAATCAGGTGTGTTGCAAGCGGGAGAGCTGGAAAACAGGCAGGACAGTGGCCCTCCAGGCCCGGAGCTGGACATGTCTGGTTTAGGGAGTTCATGTTAAGAGGGAAGAAGCCGTTTGAATGTCTGCTGGTTTTGGTGCACATGGTTTGGTAGCGCTTACCGGAGGGGAGTAGATGGAAAAGGTGGTGGGCAGGGTGGATGGGGGTCCAGTAGGATTTTCTGTGCCCTTGTCTTAGTTCATGTGGTGTGCAAGTCCTCAAGAGTGGGTAGGGCGGTGCCAATGATTTTTTCCGCTGTCCTAACTGTCCGTTGCAGTCGGATTTTGTCCTTTTTTTGTGGCAGCACCAAACCAAACCGTGATAGAAGAACACAGGATTGATTCGATGACTGCCCTGTAGAACTGTCTGAGCACCTCCTGTGGCAGGCCATTCTTCCTCAGCAGCCTCAGGAAGTATGTCCTCTGCCGGGCCTGTTTCAGGATGGAGTTAATGTTGGCCTCCCACTTCATGTCCTGAGTGACTGTGATTCCCAGGAACTTGAAGGTCTCGACAGTTGACACACGGCAGTTGGATAGTGTGAGGGGGAGCTGTGGTGAAGGATGTTTCCTGAAGTCCACGATCATCTACAGTCTTGAGTGTGCTCATTTAAGAGCCACACTAAATTTGTCTTATCTGCACCACTGGATATGCAGTGCGGTGAAATAGTATTTTCCCCCTTCTTGATTTCTGTTCTTTGTATATTTATCACGTTCTTTGCATATTTATCACATACAAAGGTTTCAGTTCATCAAACCAATTTTAATATCACATAGAGACGACCCAACGAAATACAAAATGTAGTTTCTCACTGCCAATATAATTTATGAAGGCACAAAATAAAAAACAATAAAAACAACCTGTCCATATGTGAAAAAGTAATTGCCCTCCTTCCTTGTTAAATCACAAATCAACTGATAAAAGGAACATCAGGCCAACAGTGAAGCATGGTGGTTGCAGTGTTGTAGTCTGTGGCTGCTTTGTTTACTCAGGTCCAGGACAACGTTTTGTAATTGCTGGGACAATTAATTCTGCTGCCTACCAGAAAATCCTGGAGAAACTTTCATAATCAGTTTGCACCATTAAAGTCAAGTTAGCTCATGGATCATGCAGCAGGACAAAGAGCCGACACACACCAGCAAGTGCACTTGGGAATGGCCTAAAAAAACAAAATTAAGGTTTTGGGGTGGCCAAGTTGAAGTCCGGATTTGAATCCTATTGATATGCCTTGCAGTGACCTTAACCGTGCAGTTCATGCTAGAAAACCATCCAATATGGCGGAGTTGAAGCAATTCTGCAAAGAAGAGTGGGCCAAAATTCCTCCACAGCGATGTGAAGGACTCATCACCAATTATCACAAACGCTTGATTTCAGTTATTGCTGCTATGGGTGGCATAAGCCATTATTAGGTTCAGGGGGCAATTCGTATTTTTTCATATCGGGACAGGTCTTTTGGGATTTTTTTGTGTCTAAATCATTTAAATTAACATAGCAATCAACAACAAAAAAATATGTAGTTTAAGATGGGCATTACAAAGATCTTGACATGGTTACTGGATTAATAGGGTGATGTCGAAGTAACACGAACAAGGACCTGACTGGTCAGGGGCTTTATTGTGAACGAGAACACAAAGGTAATGAGTCAGGTTCCTGCAAAGAAGATATGACCAAAAAAATGGTTTAAGGGAGGGGTGCCCAAGTCAATCCTCGAGATCCCCTATCCGGCCTGTTTTAGATGACACCTGGTTCAGGATCGTTATCAGGCTTCTGCAAAGCTTTCTGATTAATGAGCTTGGTTAGGTATTTGGAGTGTGCGTTAGTGAGCCATTTTTTTAAACAATCACAAAATAAGCCTTTAGAATTATATATATATATATATTTTATTTTTATTTTTTTGCCGGACCTGATATGTGTTCATGAATGTTAACATAAAAAAATCTATGTAATTTTTCTTGGCATGGCAACAGTGTTCAATGATAAAATCTGTAAACAGCGAAATTCTTGGTAGGTTTAGCATATGGCTCCAGGAAACTTTTGTAGGTCATGGGCTCTTACATATGTGTCCAAATTTTCAGTGATCTTGGTGGAACGTACAACTGGTGCTTCTTGGTTAAGACTTTATAAGAGCCCCACTGAGTTGTGTGAGCAATGTTTGCTTAAGTTGAAACTTCCTTTTTTTCAGGTTTGCCTTCTTCATAGCACTCTGCTGATGAAGTGCGCCTACACCGACAGCCTGTTCAGCACTGACGATGAAGGTTTCATCCTAAGACGATTGGTTGTTCTCTCCCAGCATCCATTGCTAAGTAAACCAGAGAAGCTTTTCTTCATGGACTATATGCTGCATTTTCCTGAGAACAGGCCCATCAGCTGCGGAAATAACGAAAGTCCACCTGTGCTGCTAACCTCCCAATTGGCATGTACGCTAGCACCCACTCTCCTCAATGATTATGCTACGATGCTGGCCCGCTTCAATCTGCTGTTGGTGGTATGCCAGGAGGAGGGTGAAAAAGATGGAGAGGAAGGCAGAGGTCTAGTCTATCTCTATGAACACCTCGGCTTGCTACTGAACATAATGATCAGAGGACACAGTCGTGAGATTGCCGCCACATTTTTCAGGGCAGTTTTCCTTTTCCTTGTTTCTTTTTGCCACATGGAGAGATATGCTACCAGTATTGCAGAAAAACTATGCACGCTTTATCATCATCAAACCCACTTGGCTCCACACATTCTCAACTTGGCTGAGCAAAGTTCTGACTTGTTCCCTGAATGCAATTGGTCTGCAAGACTCTGCAGGGCCCTGCAGGGCGTTGTTATTGAGGCGCCGCCTGCTCAGTTCACCCTAACAGACCTCGGTTGGCACCTCAAGGTGCTGGCTCGAGTGGCAGAAGAAGGGCAAATCCCTCAGCAGACCACGCTCCAACTACTTTCCAAGATCATCTTTACACCTTCAGTGTGTCTGACTAGTAACTGGCGTCTGGGAAACAGTGTGCTGCAGCTTTGCCGGCGCTTGATGACACATCCCAGCCTGGACTCATTATTTACCTCTCTGGCCAACGTCCTGCAACATCTTATCTGTTACTATGGCGACGCAGACATTCAAGATCGTGCTCGACTATATTACAGCCTCCTGACTACTCTCTCCAAAGAAAAATTGACTGGGATTATCAAGCAGGGTTTGAGGGAGGAAGGACAAAATATCAAACACTCGCTATCCTGCATCATGGCAGACACCGAGAGACTGACAAGTGTGCTAACCATTCAGCAGACGGAAAAACCCGTTTTTAGGCTGGTTGAGTTAAAGTATCCTGAGCCACAGGAGAGAAACGAGATAATTCTGGAAAGTGACTCGAGCCCCAGTGAGGAACAGGACAGCGCAGGACTGGAAGCATACAGGGCCCAGTTCAAAGACCCTTGCTTTGGCTCACAGATTACCTTGCACTACCAGCTCAACCATACCATGCACAACCTTTCCTGCTTCGATCAGGTCTTCAGCATACACCTGCACTTCAGCTTAATGGATGACACCTGTGAAGAACTCTGTGACTTCAATGTGCCCTGTCTTTTTAGAGAGAGACGGTCTCCCGTGGTGAAACTGGTATTGAAGCCCAGGTTGCCTGTCCCCATCACTCTCAGTTGCAGTGCCATCTTCAACACCTTAAATGGCCTTTCCTGGTATACTTCACTGCCAGACATGCACGTTTTATTTCAGCAAACCTTTCTGCCATTGGTTGTTCCCACCACTTGGGGAACAGCTGTTAAATTGGGTGTTTTTAACGACATTTGGGATGAAATAAGTCGGGAAGAGAAAGCAGATTATGCTACCACCCTGTTTTGTGGCCAGCTGCAAGCAGAAGAACTGGGCTCCATTGTGGAAAAACAGTTGCTTACGTTCATTATATCAGATTCAGCCAATCAAGCTGAATTAAAATGTGTTTTTTTCATTCCCCCACAATTTCACATACTGCTGAAAATCATTTCAGAAGAGGATGCTGTCCATTTCAATGTCGTTACAGATAACTGGCGGCTACTGCCTCACATCAGTTCTTTCATTGGTAACCTTTTAATGTCTTTGCCTGAAAAGGTTACCAGTCACCCATGAAGTACCATATTTTGGTTTGAAATGAAAAGTGCCACTATTGTGTTTCTCTCAAATTTCCGAGAGAACGGATTTCACATGTAGAAAGTGATTTTACACAACATGCTGTAGTTTCACATTTGTAATTATGCCAAAATAGTTCTGTTAAATGTCAACCTTTTTCTTAGTTCAACTCTGATCAGTTTGAGTTCCACCAACCATAGAAAGATGGAAGAATGTCTGTGTTTAATGACTGAATTGGCCATATTTTGAAAGGAATATATTATCAATCAAAGATGCAGATTTGTCACTTTTCGTTTACTAATGGTTGGATAGAAAAAAATGTGCATATAAATTATTCATATTAAAGACCCCAATAATACATGTTTTCAATTCATTATTTATTTGCATGCTCCAAAGTATTGTTCAAACTATCATTAAAACTATTAATGTCGGTGTTCGGAGGTCTGAATGTAACTCCTACAATCACATTTTATTCCATTGCTCTGACACATAATTTCATTGAACATAGATTTGGCATCAATTTGATCATATATATATGTTAAAGATCTGGTCTATCAATATTTTTTGTGAAAAACACTACCCCTATCTCCCAATTTTATGTTTATTGATGTTTTAACAACATCAATACAATGATGATGACTGTTTCCTCTGTAAACCATGTTTATGTTAAAGCAAATGCTGAAGTCATGTTCTAAGAGTGACGTGCACAGTTTGGTCAGTTTATTTATTTATTTATTATTGCTTTTAACAACATATTATCAATGTCGACTTTTGAGTCATGCCTGTGTAGAAGGTTGGAGGCAAAAATCATCAAGTGTATGAGAAGGAAATTTAATTATGCAATCTTTACAGATCCAAGAAGCCCATATGCCAATTTTCTTTTGAGAAATTTGTGTCATCTAAACCTTATGCCATCATCTCTTTTCTCCTTGACTCATGGGATGGTGGGTTCACAATAAGCTTTTCATATCTTAGGTTTCATGATTCAATTCAATAAAATAAATGGTGGTTCATCCCAAATCCAGCAGACAAATTGTAAAATGCTCTGACCGGAATATATTGTGAAAATGTCATTCAATACTGTGTTTGTAGCGAGTTTGCATGTTTCTCATCTGGCCATGCACAATAATTTAATTTTTTTTTTTTAAATCACAGAATCATTTCATTATGGGATGAATATTCAGGTTTAGTCAGCTGCACCACTCTCTTAATTAGAGAGTCCTTTGAAATTAGGTTCCTTGTCAGATGGTAAAATTGTCTGTTGGCTCAGTAACTTGCCCATGATAGCAATCTCTGCATCCCTTTTATGCACATCATCCTCAGGAGTCCAGGACATGTCGTGTTGAAGTTTGAATGCACCAACAAACAGGTGAGGACAACTTGAGCCCCATTCCTGGAGAGGAGATCATATTTTACAGAATAATCGCACAATTGGCACAATAGTCATTTCAGGTGGTTAGGAACAAACAAGTTTCTGGGCCAAAATTAGTGTGCCATATTCAGTGGTAGCTCTACTAAGAAATTTATTGGTTCTGGAAGACATTTATGTAGTCAGTAGAGACGCGTTTTCTATGTAAATGCCCTAATTCATTCAAAGCCCCCCCAAAATTCAGAAATAAATGCGAATGACGAGGACGCTGCAGAGACACAGATCTATCTATTTTTCTACGCACACACAGACACATTCGGTAGGCGTCCGTCCCTCTTAGCCAATGGGATGCCAAGAAGATGTTAGGTAGTAGCCAATGGTAGAGCAGCTATAAGTATGTTGTGTTCAGGAAAATCAGAACTGCGAGTAGCAGTCCATACTGTATTTTAACCTCTCGTATCTTGAAATTTCTTTTGTACCAAGAGGCAATATTTTCCTGTTGAGACGTTTCGTAACTTGAACATTTTGGATGAAGAGACGTTCGTAAGTAGAGGTACCACTGTGTGTGCACGCTTGTATGGGGTAAACATTAACATTTAAGTGTTAAAAAAAATCTGCATGTGCAGATTTTTTTTAACACTTAAATTCAGCTTTCACAATGTGCAGCTTTCACAACAACATATACACACACATATATATATATATATATATAAAAGGTAAAAGCAATCTACCTTAGGTGAAATGATAGAAAAGTATTTTTGTCCAGATGGTCGCTGGTAGAGGTAATACATGTTGCCTGGCTTTTTCACTATGTTGCAGGCAGCGTGGTGGAGGTCAGCATCTCTTTTTGCTTCTTCTAAGGCCTAGACATATACATAAAGAGAAATCAAATCAATCAAGCACCAGTCAAATTGCATCTTTTTAAATGTCTGTCGAGGAGATTAAGATAAATTCTTCCCCCATGATATTTACGTCGGGCTGGGCGTTTAACTGATTTCATCAATTCATTCGACTTTATAGGTCAATTTTTTTTTCTTCAGCGCCTTCAGTAGAGCAAAACTCGATGCTGCAGACATAAGATAAGCTGGATTTCCATTGCCCTCGTAAATGTGAAAAATGCAAATTGTGCAATAGCAAACTGGTCATGGAAACCCAGAAACTTTGAAAAATCTCTCACAATCACAAGATCATCTTCCACAAACGTTCAACCCTACTGAGAACAGTTTTTAACTGCGGAAAAAAAAGAATATTTTTTATTGAACTACCGTGTTGCCCAGTCCTAATTTTAGTGTAACCTTCCAGAAAGGTCTTGACTGCTTTTCTTCTAATGTATGTAATATAAAATAATTTGTTAAATAACTGCTGTGGTCTCTCAAGAAAATCTGTGTTTTATGTGCCAAATTAGTGCTGTCCTCATCTCCCAATTTGCTGGTGCACTCACCTTTCTTGCTTGCTCTTGTAGATATCGGATCTGGTCAGCAATTACCGACAGTTTGTTGCAGGCATTGGCTTTAATAAAATCGTCTGCCTGAGAAAACAGATCACACTCAACAAAACAAAACATCCATTAAATTTTGAAAATAAAAACTGAGTCCAAACCTTCTGCAGTTGTGTTGCCAAAGCAACAAGATCCATAGCGTCCCCCACTCTAGTGGTCTGGTAAGCGTTGACAAGCTGCTGTCCACCAGGAGCGACGCTGCTCTCAACCAGAGTCACTACAAAACCAAACTGATGTTTACATCAAATTTTCACATGTGATATGCATCCACTATATGGAAATACAGTCATCTGAATGGATCTTATCCAGAGCAAAGCGAAGCGTTTCCGGGGAGGAGGGAAAAGTCCGATGCCGTAACAGTTTCTGCTGTCAATATGTTACATGTTCCTGGTAGGCCAAGTGACTGAAAATAACCTCCATCGTGTGATGATGTGACCTGGTGTTATAATTCTATCGTCACTATTGGGTGGAAACCTTCTATGTATGAATTTGGTCGATTTCATATTTATGACAAATCATTCGTCAGTCAAGTTAAGTTTCACACATTTCCGAAGTTGTCACCAAGCATTTATAGTCTCACACCCTATGCCAGGGTGCGGAATTAGTCGATTAAGGTCGACCGGTCGCCTGCGGACTGGTTGCAAGTCCACCGTGAGGAGTGTTGGGAGGAAATGGGAAACAAACACACAAACAAAAAGATTTGTGTGTCTGTTATTAATATTAGATATTTTTGTGTTAATGTGCACTGGACCCTAAGCATCCAATTAGGGTAACTTTCACAAAAATGGAGAATTTAAAAAAATTTAATAAAAAAAGTAGGCCACCTTTAACCTACACTCACCGACCACTTTATTAGGTACACCATGCTTGTAACGGGTTGGACCACCTTTTGCCTTCAGAACTGCCTCAATTCTTCGTGGCATGGACTCAACAAGGTGCTGGAAGCATTCCTCAGAGAGTTTGGTCCATATTGACATGATGGCATCACACAGTTGGCACAGATTTGCCGGCTGCACATCCATGATGCGAATCTCCCGTTCCACCACATCCCAAAGATGCTCTATTGGATTGAGATCTGGTGACTGTGGAGGCCATTTGAGTACAGTGAACTCACTGTCATGTTCAAGAAACCAGTCTGAGATGATTCCAGCTTTATGACATGGCGCATTATCCTGCTGAAAGTACCCATCAGAAGTTGGGTACATTGTGGTCATAAAGGGATGCACATGGTCAGCAACAATATTCAAGTGGGCTGTGGTGTTGCAACGATGCTCAATTGGTACCAAGGGGCCCAAAGAGTGCCAAGATAATATTCCCCACACCATTACACCACCACCACCAGCCTGAACCGTTGATACAAGGCAGGATGGATCCATGCTT